ATATATATATATGTATATATATATATTATTATTACTACTACTACACTCTCTTCGTTCTTACTATATATATATATATATATATATATATATATATATATATATATTTGTATTCAAGTACACCTTCGCTTCGTTTCCGTTACAGGTCTTTCCATCGGTCAGGCTGGTGAGTTCGACTACTCTGGTTCTCAGTGCATCAAAGCGCTGAAGGAGGAGGGTATCGAGACTGTCTTGATCAACTCGAACATTGCGACCAACCAAACGTCCAAGGGCCTGGCCGATAAGGTGTACTTCTTGCCTGTGACACCCGAGTATGTGCTGAAGGTGATCCGCGAGGAGAAGCCCGATGGTGTGCTAGTGACCTTCGGAGGCCAGACCGGTATGTGCGGTTGTTGGAACATATGCACGCGTAGATGTACATGTCCCAAATAGTCTCGTATGTGGATCGAGTAATGTCCCAGTATGTGGGAGTGACCACGTGCGCGCCCCTGTACGTACATTAAGGTGCAAGTATGTGTAGGAAGGACAATTGTTTATCGACCTAACGAGGCATTTAGTCGAGGTCTGCTTCTATCGTTACTTCATACAATGTAGCTTGTGTCTCTGCATTTCAGGAATAGCGTTCGATGGCGCGATCCTCGTACCATTGAACCTGGTCGAAATGGAGGTGTTTGTGCTGGTGGCAAACATGCATACTGAGATGCGTGTACTTGTTTATGTGTGTATATACGCTTTATCTGATCAATGTCTGCCCGTTCACCCCGTCACACAGCCCTCAACTGTGCGATTGCCATCCAGCAAGACCTGATTGATATGGGAGTGGCTGTGCTCGGGACACCCATCCCCACCATTGAAGATACAGAAGACAGAGAGCGTTTCAATGAGATTCTCGACTCTATTAACGAGAAGACAGCTGTTTCTATGGCAGCGGATAACACCAAAGATGCCATCAGGGGCGCTAACGAGATCGGATACCCGGTACGTATATGTAGAACTATACCTGTGTGGGTGTGCTTTTAATTTTGCCGCTGTTCGGGTGTATGTTGTACTGGATACTCTCATTTGTTGTTAATATGCCCAAGTATTCATTCATATGCAATGACTGTACATATATTGTGGTACATGCTACCTCTGTCTAGGGATATTAGGTCTAGATCTTCTTTATTATCATTTTTTGTTTCTCTTCGTGAAGTACATATCGTAGCATATATATTTGTCTATTTATCTATTTAGCTATTGGTCTATTTGTCTATTATATATATTTTTCTCATATTCAGTGATATTGTCCCTTTTTCAGGTTATTGTACGAGCAGCCTTCGCACTGGGTGGACTTGGCTCAGGGTTCGCCAACAATGACAAAGAGATGAGAGCTCTTGTGGACCAAGCACTCAACACATCCCCCCAAGTCCTGGTATGTTTGCATTTCGATCGAGTACCACGCGCCCGCCCACTCACTACCTGTCCATCAGAACATGTTGTTATGATTAAGTTTACATGGTGGGTCACGTCTCGCGTTGAAATAATCGTAACTGAAATCTAGGCGGCATATATATGGGCGTGTCTGCTGAGTGTACTTTAGATTGTGCTGTTTCTGATTGGGGCCTGGATAATGTGCATACCATTCAACATAGCGACACGCTCAATGTGCAGCAGAAGGTACTTTAATCCTAAGGCTACGGTCACTGAGATTGAACATTCCTGGCCACCTCCAATACTTTATAAATATTTTTGTGGCTAATTCCACATTCAAACGCTCACACGCGCCACTCCAGGTTGAACGATCTATGAAGGGCTGGAAGGAGGTTGAGTACGAGGTTGTGCGTGATTGCTACGATAACTGTATCACTGTCTGTAATATGGAGAACTTCGATCCCCTTGGTATCCACACCGGTGACAGTATTGTTGTGGCACCATCACAGACGCTTTCGGATGCAGAGTACAACATGCTCAGAGATACCGCCGTTAAGGTATGGGTGTACTGCACACCTAGATTAAGATATATATATATATATATATATAGAACCCGAGTGTATGTAGCTTTAATAGAGATGTGCCTGTGTTCGCTTGTATAATAATATTAGGTAGGTACATATTCTGTTTTACACTTTTGCTGCTATTGATCCATGAGTAGTCATCCTAGCCTTGTATGCTAACACCCTCCTACTTGTGCCACCAACACAGGTGATTCGACGTCTCGGTGTAGTCGGTGAGTGCAACATCCAGTACGCACTCAATCCCAACAACATGGAGTACTGTATCATCGAGGTCAATGCCCGTCTGTCTCGATCATCGGCCCTGGCGTCCAAGGCAACCGGGTATCCTTTGGCCTATGTTGCGGCTAAGCTTGCGCTCAACATACCCCTGCCTGAGATTCTCAACCAGGTCACCAAGAAGACCTGTGCTTGCTTCGAGCCTAGGTGAGTCTGTCTCGTAGGCTTAGTACACGTATCTCTGGCTTATGTATATCGTGTGCGTTCATGTTTGTATATATTAGGCGGATCAATTAAATGTATATATGTATGTATAGAATACACGTCTATTTTTGATGGCAGGTATCATATTTAACTGCTTTGTCAGATATATCAATTATATATACCATGTACGTTTTATCAGGCGTGTTAATTGTATATATAATATACATACATATATATATATATACATATATATATATATATATTATAGACTTTCATGTTTAATCACCTGCACCAGATGTACCTGGGTTTGTGTGCATGTGCCGGATATATATGTGGATATAATATACACACGCAGTCGTCATATCAATCTCATCCTCTGCTCACGTGGCGTGAAGTGCACACGCACACTACTGTACTGTGTTTTGTATACACCCCATATCATAGCAACTATCACAATCTTATAGTCATATACACCCATAATCTACCTACACTCGTAATTTACCTACTTACCAACTCCATCTCCATCTCCATCAGTCTGGACTACTGCGTGGTCAAGATACCCCGATGGGATCTGCGCAAGTTTGACCGAGTGTCGACCAAAGTGGGCAGTGCAATGAAGTCTGTGGGTGAGGTTATGAGCATTGCACGCACCTTCGAAGAGGCCATGCAGAAGGCCGTGCGCTGTGTAGACGATAGCATCCCCGGTTTCCAGGTAGGTATAAGCGAAGATAGGATAAATCTGTTGTATATTTGCATATTGTGATGGGGGGAAGGTAAGGAAAATCTTTGGAATATATGTGTGTATATTGTTGATGGAGAAGATAAGGCATATCTTCGATTTTGTGTATATTTTCAAAGGGGGGAAGATAAGACAAATCTTTGGTTATATTTGTGTGTGTTGTTAGTGGGGGATAATAAAACGAATCTATGGATAAATGCATGTGTATATTGTTAACGGGTGCAGTGGGGGATAAAAAAACGAATCTATGGATAAATGCATGTGTATATTGTTAACGGGTGCAGTGGGGATGACTATGTTTGTGATTGTGTTGTGCTGACGTATCGTGTGCGTTGCATGGCCGACAGCGTTGCCGATTCTTAATTCACGAAGAACAATGTTAAATCAATGCATATATGTATGTCAATCAATCTGTATCTATATGTGTATATTGTGAATGGGGGGTGCAATAGGGTTTGCTTTATATATATCTGTGTTGTGTTTGTATCCATTCCACGCGTTGTGCTCGTGGATAGTGAAGTCATATGCTGTAGGTTGTGTAGGCGGGTATACATGATTGTGTATAGACGAAGAAAATACTGTATCAGATACAAGCGTGTATCTGTGTAGGTGTAAATGAACGGCAGTTCGTGCACAGCACCTCTCCTCATTTCCTCGAGATCATGTTATTCATTTACGCAATGCGCATTCTCAGTGTGATATCTGGCCCACCATGTTCATACCTTCTTTCTGCATCCGATCAATATCAGGCGCCAACTGCCATGCTCGAGTCCTCCGATGAGGTGGTGGCCGATCTGCTTGAAAATGCCACAGATAAGCGCTTGTTCTATGTCGCTGTTGCCCTGGAGCGTGGTTGGACGGTAGACCGTGTCTGGGAGCTTACTAAGATCGACAAGTGGTTCCTTTCCAAGGTGTGTTGTAGATCAGTATGCCACGGAGTTGAGAAAGGTGCTTGGTATTATTTATTTTGTGTATGTGTATTTTATGGAATACTAAAAGGTCGACAGGTGGTTTCTTTGCAAGATGTGTTATAGATCAGCACTTAACGTATGCGTGATAGCATGTATGTGAATTGTGTTGAATATTACATTGACATTGCAGAACTCTATTTAAATAACACATTTATGAGTACGCCCAGATTTTGAGTGTAACAATAACTATAAGAACTTATCCGTAGTTAATAGCATAGTATTGCGATCATTTGCATACAGTCACAAGCCTCTATATATATATATATACGTATGCGCGTATAATAAAAAAATACTATATCTTGTCTCTTGTCAGCTCTCCAATATTGTGGTATACCGCAAACACCTGGAGAGAATTGGGGATGCCCCGAAGTTGACACATGCCAATGTTCTACGTGCCAAACAACTCGGTTTCAGTGATCGTCAGATCGCCGAGTACTGTTCCAGTACGGAAATGAACGTGCGCAAGATCAGGTATGTGTATGTCGGGGTAGTAAACGTACTCGCAAGTTGTAAATGTAAAAACCACGTATGTCAGTGTGGTTAGAGTCGAGTTCTTTAAATCAAATGTTGGCCAAATCGCTGTCTAAAGTATTAAACTGCATATGTATACGTTTACAATTGCTGCGATTTTCGGAACACTGACGCGTATAACGAATCTTGTTCCCAATCATATATTTGTATATGTATACGTTTACACGTACTATAAATCTCGGAACACTGACACCTGCGAGGAATCTGGCTACAACAGATCGTCTATGAAGATCATGCCCTGGATCAAGCAGATCGACACCGTCGCGGCCGAGTTCCCATGTGTCACCAACTACCTCTACAGCACCTACAACGCTTCCTACCATGACATCACCTTCAACGACCACGGTGTGATTATGCTGGGTAGTGGTGTGTACCGTATCGGCTCCAGTGTGGAGTTCGATTGGTGTGCCGTAAGTGCCATCAAAGCGCTCAGAGCCGAGGGCCTCAAGACCATCATGCTGAACTACAACCCCGAGACAGGTGAGCGAATGCGACGAGAGGTTATAGACTCTGCACGCGTGAACTGTGCCTGTACATGATCCGTCGTCCCTGTAGTACAGCTGCGTGCGCTGGTCGACTCAGGCCTGTAGCATTTATCCTGTGTGTTGCATGTTTCCACAGGCATGAAGTGGTAGTAAGGGTGTATTTGTGTTTGGCTGGTGTTATGGATGCTTGACCTGGTAGCAGGTGTAGCATGTGTGTATGTGTGTTTGGTGTATGTTTTAGCTGTTCCTGAACGCCACTAGTGCGTTGGTACGAAGGACCAACAACACCGTCCTGGTTGATCTCATCCGGAGAAGATATCATATAAGCTGTTGCAAAACTGTTCAGTTTGTACATATGAACATACATTCTACCCCAAGCAATAAAATCGCAAGCCTTACACACACAACCCTCTTACCACCCTAACCAACACAACTTACTTACCCCCCTAATCAACATCACTTACTGGCCTCCCAAACCCACCCACACGCAGTGTCCACTGATTTTGACGAAGTCGATCGCCTGTACTTCGGAAACATCTCTGTGGAGACTGTTGTAGACATCTACGAGATGGAAAGCAGTGCCGGTGTGTTCATCTCCATGGGTGGCCAGGCGCCTAACAACATCGCCATGACCCTACACCGCAACGGCGTTAAGATCTTCGGTACCTCCCCGACCCAGATCGACCAGGCCGAGAATCGATACAAGTTCAGTCGGCTGCTGGATAGTATGGGCGTGGATCAGCCCCGCTGGAGAGAGTTGACCAGTCTGGACGAAGCGGCCAGCTTCTGCAACGAAGTGTCGTTCCCAGTGCTGGTACGCCCGTCGTACGTGCTGTCGGGTGCAGCCATGAACGTAGTGCACACCCACGACGACCTGCAGGAATACCTGGGCCAGGCCGCGGAGGTGTCTCGCGAGCATCCCGTGGTGATTAGCAAGTTCATTGAGAACGCGAAGGAGATTGAGATGGATGCCGTAGCCAAGGACGGTGAGCTGATCATGCACGTGATCAGCGAGCACGTCGAGAATGCCGGGGTGCACTCGGGAGATGCGACGTTGATCCAGCCGCCCCAGGTACGCGTAGAGTGTCGATAGAGCGTCGCAGAAGGCCTTGTGAACATGCATTGCATTGCATCACAGACGTTTATTTATAGGTTTTATTTCTGTGAGAAGTGTTATCTGTGTGATATGTGCGTATGTACTGAAGGGCATGCAACGGCCGCGGTGGCATAGGATATGGAGTGGATTGTGCACGTGAGTTTAGGAATCAGGGGGTTTAGGAGAGTTCATACCAAGTGTGCGTGTGATTCTACTAGTCCACCCTAGTTGACCATTTGATACACACACCCTCTGGAATCGTAACAATCCCCGTTATTGGTACACGTCCACTTCAAAATCACATCCGTATCTCTCAACCCCATAATATAATCAACACCTCAAACTCCCATGTACCGCATACAAGTACGCTGCAAAATCATACCCTCCTCTCTCAAACCCTTAATCAAAACAAACACCTCACACTCATCTACCACACCTATCAGGATCTGGACGAGAAGACCATGAGCCGTATCGTCGCTGCCACCGCAGCCATTGCCCAGGGCCTACGGGTAACGGGACCCATGAACATCCAGTTCATTGCCAAAGACCAGACCATCAAGGTCATTGAGTGCAATGTGCGTGCCTCGCGGTCGTTCCCCTTTGTGTCCAAGACATTGGGTGTGAACCTGATTGAGATGGCGACGCTTGCAATGATTGGCAAGGATGTCGTGCCGTACCCCAACGCTGGCCGACCCAAATTGGACTACTGCTGTATCAAGGTGTGTGTTTGGTTTGGGTGTACACATTTATCACGGTTCTTTCACTTTTTATCGAATGCACGTGTGAAGACGTGTTAAACCCTAAAACATCCGAGTTATATTCGAAGGTAGCCACTGTTGCAATAATTATGTATGCATGCGTGTATGCAGGCGTGTGATCTGTACTCGTGGTGCTATGTGGTGCAACTTAGCGGACGAGATTGCTTGTTTACCTGACATGATATTCGGCCATTGTTACCTACATACATGAGTTCATATATACCTACATACTATGAGTTCATATATACTTACATACTATGAGTTCATATATACCTGCATACTATGAGTTCATATATAACTACATACTGAGTTCTTATATAACTACATTTTATGAGTTCATATATACCTTCATACTATGAGTTCATATATACCTTGTACTATGAGTTCATATATACCGACATATTATGAGTTCATATATACATACATGCTATGAGTTCATGTATATACCTACATGCTATGAGTTCATGTATATACCTACATACTATGAGTTCATATATAACTGCATACAGAGTTCATATATACCTACATACTATGAGTTCATATATACCTACATACTATGAGTTCATATATACCTACATACTATGAGTTCATATATACTTACCTACTATGAGTTCATATATGCATCTACATACAATGATTCCCTAACCTCCAAACTGACTCATCTGCCCGCATTTCCACCACAGGTGCCCCAATTCTCCTTCAACCGATTGAGCGGTGCTGATCCCATTATGGGCGTTGAAATGGCGTCAACCGGAGAGATTGGTTGCTTTGGCCGCAACAAGCATGAGGCGTACCTGAAGGGTCTGACCGCGGTGGGGTTCAAGATCCCCAAAGTCAAGAACGTCCTGCTATCCATCGGTTAGTCTTTTTGCACGTGAAATAATTAGCTGTTCATGGACTTGGTGTGTGTTTTTAATTTGGATCTCAGTGTTTTTTTAAGTAGTGAACTAGTGTATGTGTCTATTTAGTAGTGAATTTATATACGTGTTAATGTATGTATGCATATACTTCGTTCTGCATGAGTACGGTATCTCAGATAATACTCCACGTGCAAGCAACGGTCGGGTGGGTATTGGGACAGGAACCTCTAGTATTTCTTCTTGTGCATACATTGCATGGGTGGATATTGAGACGGGAACCTCTTGTAGTTCTTCTTGTGCATACATTGCATGGTGGATATTGGGACAGGAACCTCTAGTAGTTCTTTTTGTGCTTACATCGCATAGGCATATGACTGAGCCAATCCTTGTACCTGTCCATTGTAGGTTCTTTCCAGGAAAAGAACGAGTTCCTGCCTTGTGTGCGCGAGCTTGTGGAGACTGGATGGACCATCTACGCCTCTCCCGGAACGGGTGACTTCTTGACTGAGCACGGTATCACAGTCAAGGTCAGTATACATTTATATTTATTTGTTTATGTACTTATTTATATGTGGGTTATGTGTATATATCCTACCTGTGTAGATAGTCGCCAAAGTTCATTCTGTATCAATTAGCGTCTGTCGTACAGTTCTCATGTGAATTGGTGTGGATAGGCGCTGATATTTATATATCCACGTACTAGCTTCTGTTTGTGCATGTCTTTACACATTCTTCGGGTCATTGCGATTGTGGAGAATATGTACCAGTATTTCTAACACCTCACCAATTACTTATTCATATTTTGGACCACATTTGCCCCCGTTACACAGGTTTTGGACCACATCTTCGGGGAGTTTGAGCACCAGGAGAAGGAGGAGTTCTCCATCTCGCACTACTTGCGCGAGAGCAAGATTGGCCTGTACGTCTGTCTACCCTCACGTAACAAGTACCGTCGTCCTGCTTCGTACATTTCGCGTGGATACACTACCCGTCGTATGGCTGTCGACTTCCAGGTAGGTAACACACACTTGTATATATATATATACATATAGCTGAATAATACTATTACATGAAGCAGAAATATAGAAACTTGATAAGTTTAAACTGGGATATTAAGGTCTCTCTCTCATACTCGGTACGTCCTACCTATCCCCAGGTCCCCTTGATCACGAACATCAAGTGTGCCAAGCTGTTTGTAGACGCCATCTACAAGTACCCCAACATCGCCGACCTTCCTCTAGGGGCGCATGATGTGATCTCATCGCTAGACGTTAAGTCTCTGCCTGGACTCGTGGATGTGGCTGTGCAACCAGAGACGCTTAACAAGGAGGCTCTGACGTCTCTGACCAAGAAGTGTCTGGCCGCTGGTATAACCCTGCCATGCTTCGCCGCGTCAGGTATGGCGAGGATACTCGAGCGTAGAGTTCGATGGGTGAAGATTTGTTGTGATATATGTGATATAGTATATGGACCTTTGTAAGTAAGTGTGTATGTATGTATGTGTGTGTGTACGTATGCATGTATAGGCACTACCACTTTTAAGCAGAAATTGCAACTGGTATAACTCCGCCGTGATTTGTCTGGAATGTTTGCATGCGTGTTTCTATGCTACTTCGATCACTGACTCGCTCACATACACACGTCCAGCCCTCACACGTACACACATTTCATACCCCTCAGGTAACACCTCATCGGTCGTCACCGCGCCTGCGTTCACGGACTTTGCCCTGGCCACGACCAACATCGAGGACCTAGGTGCAGATATGGGAGCAAACGCACTCTTTATCCAGCAAGAGAATGTGAATGTTCCTGAACTGTTCACTGGCTTGGCCGATGTACCGGCCGACGTGGCGCTGATCTCCAACGCGAGTGGTAACACCCTGGCGTCGCTGCTGTTTATCAGTCAGATGCAAGGCCGCGCGGTGCATTTCTCTCAGGTGTGTGTATGCATGTGTGCGTAGTGTGTGTGTGTATGCATTTCTCTCAGGTGCGTAGTATGTGTGTGTGTATGCATGTGTGCGTAATGAAGCTCGTAGTTGCGCATACGTGTGCATGTACGTCAATAGGTCCATGCCAACCAAACCACACTTGCGTTCGCAATGCTTTCGCCCCTTTTCACACACTTTGCACACACCGTACTCACTCCCCTTCACACACACACACACACATATATATATATATATATACAGGTATCTCGTGCGGACGACCTCAACCTCATCGCCGCCGCCAAGGACAACATGTGTCCCGTCACCTGCGACGTCAATCCATTGCTGCTGTCTCTATCGGCCCAGGACTTCGAGGCCACCACCGGCTCTACACCCACTCTGCTGAACTACTTGGCCAGTAAGAAGGCGTGTGCGGGTACATGGGCGGATGTGGATACCATCAAGAGTAACCTACATCTTGTGGACGCGTTCTCGGCGGGTCAGTGCACCGATCACCTATCAGAGGTGGTTGTGGCCGCGCTTACGGCGGTTAAGAATGGACTGTTGACCATCGAGGAATTCCAGGTGTGTGTGTTTGTTCATGGTCACATACATGTATGTATTTAGATATATTGTGTATGTATGTATGTATGAGATTGATTAGAATATGTATATATTGTTAAAAGAGCACTTCTGTGCCTTGTGGTAGCTAGTATCCATTCCGCATACACTCTGAATCGTACGGTATATACTGATACGAAGGTGCAAGAGTTACATGTTTGTCTTGTGCGTAACCCGGGCATGTATAAACTTTTATATTATATGCTAATTTCCGTATAATTTTCTGTCCACACATCCTGCAGGTCAAGTACTCTGAGATGCCCCGACGCATCCTTCGCCTTGCCCCCGCAACACCAGCCATTTCAGGTGTGTACTCTGGAGCTTAAATGAATACATTTATATTATTTTATTATATTATATTATATATAAATAGAGTGGCTGTCTACTTATGAATAGTATGAACACGCCAAGCATCTGTTGCACCACGTCGCCTATTGGAGTTTCTTGTTCTATTTATAATCTAATCGTGCTTCATATGGATAAGCACCCTTCCAGCAGGGGGTTCGCCCTATCACTTGTACTAAGATATGACAATCACACACATATATACACCCCACAGCGGAAATTGCAGTAGACAGCGAGAACTCCGTCGCCACCTCTGGTATCTTCTCCGACCGCAAGACCTTTGGTCGCGTGCGAGCAGTCAAGCTCAACAACTCGATAATCGCTGAACGGAACGAGGTCGTAGGCCAACCCACTGGTATCTACCGCGTTGCTATGGCAACCGGGGCAGCCGGAGTGGCGCTGAACGTATCGGCCGCTACGCCTGGACCGGCACCTACACCTAAGTTGGTGACAGAGAGCTTCCCTAGTGCATTTATGGCGGAAGCGGAGAGTCCCAGTGTTGGAGGTCGTTCCCTGAGCCAGGTAACTATGATGTGTCGATGTATAGTAGCATACAGATACACGTAGGGTGTAGTATCCTTCACGTCCCAGACATTTTCAATCAGGGTGTGTCCCTACAGTTTTAGGATACTTCTTATGTTGATTTCTCAGCTTGCTTTCGCCCACACACCAGAAAATTACTTCACATACTGCCACTGGTGACTTACTCGAATTTTCTACACCCCTCAGTACACCCCCAACATGACCCCCAAGACCATTGCCGCATCGTCAACGCCCGCTATGACAGCGCTAGCGCACTCTACGGCGTCGCTCAAGCACTGTCTGAGCATCAACCAATTCGACCGAAAGTATCTGCATAACCTGTTCCAGGTGGCATCCGATATGCGTGTCATGGTCGAGCGTACAGGTAGGCATATATATATATATATGGCGGTTGTTGTCTGCGAAATTTTGTTCGTGGGTGAATTTTACCTACTCTCTTCACACGTGTTATCGCTCGGTCTCTGTTTCAGCCGCAACGTTTGGCCTTATGTTTGTGCAAATACGTGCTGTGTGGCATCGGATCTGTGTATTAAGGCAAATCAAGGTGTGTGTTTTGTTAAATCAGATATCATAATTAATCCTGTCATACAATGGTCATGTTACTTAAATGTATAGTGTATATAGCATATAGTCAGCTGACAAATAAGGAAGTAAGCCAGTGAGAGTTCAATACACAGACCTGATCAGAGTTCATATATGCTGATACCTGTACCTTGAGGCTTTTCCTTAGTGTTCTACAAGATTATCCCTACCGCCACAAGGATATTCCTATCTCTACGAGATTATCCCTACCTTCACGTGTACCCGCTTGTAAATAGGTAGCTAATCAATCACTTTGCGCCTATTCGATTTTGTATATCTCTACACTACTTACAGGCAAAATTGATCTGCTCAGCGGAAAGGTGCTGGCCTGTGTGTTCTACGAGGCATCCACTCGCACCAGCACATCGTTCCAGACTGCCATGCTTCGCCTGGGTGGTCAGGTCGTCAACGTCGACTCCACTTCATCGTCAGTGACTAAGGGTATGTATATTTATATATGTTGCGTGTTTGTATATGTTGTGTGTTACTATGTGTTTATGCTTGGAAGAGAGATACATATGCTATTCACAGTATAGTCCCTTATGTCAGTCTTATTTTAGTGATCTCTTCTTTTTCTTCTTTTTTTTCGCGCGATGTACGACGTATTTATCATTTGATCTGATTGTTTTCGTTTGTTTTTGAATTATATTCACTGTGTTTTTTTTTGGTATTCTGAAAGTACTTCTTAGATATTGTTCCCAAGACCTACATCATAGAGGTCGTCCATTCACTAGCTCGCACACACACACAGGCGCAGAACCCTATCTATACTTCAGTATATTCTACAGTACAAATCTCGGTCTTTGTTCGTACAAACGTGTACACTAGTTTCCCGATGTACTCATACTCACCCTACCACACATACCCCCGCCCCCTCCCCCTCTAACCTACAGGCGAGAGTCTCGAGGACACCATCAGATGTCTGGAGTGCTACGCCGATGCTATCGTACTGCGTCACCCTACCAAGGGAACGGCTGACGTCGCCGCCTCTGTGGCCTCAGTGCCCGTCATCAACGCCGGTGACGGTATCGGCGAGCACCCCACACAGGCTCTGTTGGACCTCTACACCATCCGCGAGGAACTGGGTACCATCAACGGCCTGACTATCGCGGTTATCGGTGATCTCAAGCACGGACGCACCACGCACTCGCTGGTCAAGCTGCTGTGCCACTACCAGGTGAATTTTATCTTTGTGGCTGAGGAGTCTCTGGCTATGCCCGAGTACGTGCTGGATGCGGTCCGAGCGGCCGGCAAGAAGTACACGGTCACCAACGACCTGCAACAGATCCACCAGGCCGATGTGTGGTACCAGACACGCATCCAGAAGGAGCGGTTCAACAGTGTGAGTGACTACGAGGCGTGTAAGGGCAGGTTTACGATCAGTGCGCAGACGCTGCGTATTGCCAAGGAGAAGATGTGCATCCTGCACCCCCTACCACGAGTGGACGAGATCACGCCCGAGGTGGACTACGACCCGCGTGCGGCGTACTTCCGGCAGATGAAGTACGGGCTGTACGTGCGTATGGCTCTGCTGGCTGTGACGATGGCTCAGATGTAAGGCATTAGCTTGGCATGCTCGCGAGTGTCGTTGACGAGTGCACGGTGCTCTGTTGACGTACACACACGTGTACACAGGGTAAGGGTGGCGTGAAGTGGTAGCTGAATATGATAGGCACCACTGGGCAGGCGTGCTTGTCAAACTTGGTCGGACACTCGAGCTGCCGGCGCAGCTAAACCCCCAAGAACTTAATACATAGCATGATACACATGCATACAGGTACAAGTTTCATAGTTATTTGTACTGCAATTTAGAATCGGCCTAACAAGGGCTTGTAGAAAAGGAGCGATGAGCGATGTCCGTGACCGCTCGGAATCCGTTGAATGAGAAATATAGTGTTAGAAATCTTCTGTGATAGTCTCACGATAATGTACATAAGGTGACAGAGACGTACATCTAAAACGTTTACGATATGGTTGATCTTTAATAAATCAAATACTGTCAAACTTATGGTTTTTGCTGAATTTGTAGATATATAAACCTCCTGAGGATGCATATCATAGTAAAAAGCTACAAGATCGATATCTGAACAAACTAGTGTAGCTGCGTACACCACTAACTTACCCTCCCCCCCCCCCCTTTTTTTTCTGGTGGCAGCCATGGCTAACCTATATAAAACCTATTAGCTAGACACGCTCAAATTTCGGGCTATCAAATGCCGATTTCTATTCCTAATTATCTGCCCAATTGACAATGCTAATTGGAGAGGGGGTAGTTAGTGCAGTACAGAGCTACACTCCCAATTAATTTTTGGCGTTGGTACTATGTGATCTTATGTTTCAGTCTCTTCGGATTCAAGGCGGATGTGAACATTCAAACGCTTTTTAGAACGGTCCAGGTACAGTAAAAGAATCAATTATCGTGCACGTTTGAAACTTCATTATCCATTATGTACAAATATATTTTATCAGGTATAGAAACTATTTATTATTTTATAAGTATACGTGAATCATCGTTATTAGATCCGACCATGGGGTCTGTGATTATCAGCCCGTTTAATGTTGTCAAATATATGCTTCTAATGACACCAACGAGTCGATGTAGGCCCGTATTTTTGCCTATACTCGTCAGCATGATCTATGCACGAGAAGCGTGTGTACATTCACATACGTACCATCCACACACCGAAACGAAACGTGTGTGCATACACACAAGTTCATACACACGCTGTAAACTTTGCTGTAGAGCAGACAAATAACGGTATCGCGTATGTCCCTGTATGGTCCATGCTCAACATTGATCCCACCACCATACCCGGTAGAACGAACACGTTGTATCGTGGCTTTGCACCTGCAACATTCTTCTTCAACGATTGTGCCTTAGCGTACTTTTTAGCTAATCTGTATGAGACGTATCGATGCGCGGTGTGTGCGGATCGCGTGGTTTGGTGGCGTGTGCACGTGGAGTGTCTTCTGGCCACATCACGTGCCCGACATCAATGTGGGTTTCAGGGAAACAACATAACATTACATAGATACGAGAGGAAAACAACATAACATTACATAATTACGAGAGTAAAACAACACAACATTACATAGATACGAGAGTAAAACAACACAACATTACATAGGTACGAGAGTAAAACAACATAACATTACATAGATACGAGAGTAAAACAACATAACATTACATAGATACGAGAGTACTTACAAGGAATGAAACATTCTCGAAACGGTGAGAGCGATGATGAGTGCAGGTATGAGAATCAAAGAGGCTTTAATAACATAAGCTGTTTTAACACAAGCTACTTTAACACAAGCTGTTTTAGTACCAACTGTTTGAACAAAAGCTATTTTAACACAAACTGTTTTAACACATACTGAATAACACAAGCTGTATTAACACAAGCTGCTTTAACACAAACGGTCTTAACACAGGCTATCTTAGCACAAACTGTCTTAACACAAGCAATTCTAACACAGGCTGGTTTAACACAAGCTGTTTTCATTTGCAATAGCTGCCTCCCTTACCATGTCGTTGTGTTGGGGCCACAACGCCGGATTGAATTGTAGAGTGAAACATATATAGTTCGTATGAGCGGAGGAGCTCACCATCCACTTCCGTACAGCACCCCATTAATTCGTGATAAGACTATAACCAGGTATTCTGGTCAAGTTTGGTCACACAGCGAAACAATGGCGCAGCCACTTCCGTAGAGTAACTTAAATGTGTGTTAGGACTATATCTAGAGGAATTATATCCCCGTCAAGTTTGGTCCTACAGCAAAACAATTATCGCAGGCTTGTTGAAGTCGGGGTCGCAGTTGTCCAGCCATATGTTAGAAGTTCGGTATCTTGACATTGTTTGTCCTCGGAGCGTACTGATACTTGTATAAACGCCATTTACATAGAATAAAAAAATGCATACTCACAGTTCGGCCACATAGGGGCAGCGTCGCCTTCTGTGATTGCGAGTTTGAAAAAGGAATACATAGACTTACATATTCTGCCTGAGCTCGTAGTTGCTGCTCAATCGAAGGCGCAAGCCAAGAAAAACAAGCCATACACGCACAGCGGAGCTCAGCCGAAAGTCACCGAATCGAGATTTGTGAACCGGAACATTATAACACGTACCTTTCCTAACCCGAGTATCCGTAGAGTTCTTGTAGATTTGCGACAAGCTCGCAAGGCCCACATACGTACGAGGATCACTTCAGGAGTGACGTATCAAAGGTGCCGTAGTCTCGTTTGAGGACCGAGGAAGATCCAAAATAGTGAACGATACAAATTGAAACGCCGCCTACAAGAAAATACACCAGCGTTTCTGTGCGGGATGTTATTATAATCATATATATATATATATATATATATATATATATATATATATATATATATTACTATATATTACATATATATATATATAGTAGTATATAACTACCTTAAT